GAGCTCATCCCCACTGTCGATCAGCCTGGTCACCTCTGAGTTACCCTCAGGTCTGTCTTGAGTGTTTTCGATAGATGCCCCACTAGTGGGAGAACTGCCCTTAGCGTCCAAACCGGCTGCTGACGGCGGTGAATCTGAAGGGTGCAATGAGGAGGCGCTTGTTTGCTGAGGTGAGACTTGTTCCTTCATGTGTTCTTCGGTTAGGCTGTCATGTATACTGAAGAGCAGTAAATTACTAGCATCTTTGCCATCCGAGTCCTCGTAGTTGGACTGAAGTTCCTGCCCAATCTTGGTGAGCACCTCAGACAGCGTTTCCAAAGAACACTGAGTGAGCTGACCTGCATCCCTTAAAGGACAGTCATCTTCCTCCGAGCCAATCCACTCTTCACAGGTTCTGAGCGTTTCTTCTTCACAGAGCTGCTTTCTTTCTCCTGACATTTCACTTTGCTTTAATTCTGTGTTCACTTCTTTGTTTAGGGTTTCTTTGCTAGAATATTCAGGAACAGAGTCCCCTGAACTATAATCTTTCAATTGACAACTTTCAAGAAACATAACGACCTCTGACGTAGAAAGTCTGTCTATCTCAGAGAGAGTACTGATGTTGAAGTCCCGCAGTGCTGAGGTCAGACAGCCCACCTCCATGGAAGGCCTCGTCTCGGCGGCACCAGCATCCGCAGCTCCCACCTCTCTCCTGCCGGCCTCCGCAGCATCCTGCTGCTGGTTACCTGTCAAGACTTCAGGCTCGTTTTCACCCTCACTGCAGCTAGGGGCCTCACTCTCCTCCACCTCAGTGTCACCACCCCCCACCTCCCGAATGCCTGTGTAACAGTACAGAGGACCAGGAAAACGACTTGGGGGGGCATCATGAGTTTCTTCATCTTTTCTGCCCATCACTGGTAAAAATGCAGTGCCTGTGGTGCCAGTACCATCAGGAGAAGCACCGCCAGGAGCTGGTGATGGCTGCTCCAAAGGCTCCTCCAGGCTTTGCTCTACACTAGGAGAGTCCTTTGAAATGGCCAGGGTTTCACCACCAGATCTAACTGTGTCTCCAAAAGATATTTCTTCAACGGGAAAACCTCCTGATGCTGTCACTTCTGTGGCTGGAGCAAGTTTGTCTGCACCCATCCTAGATGAGTCCAGATCTGTGGCATTTAGACATGGATGCTGTTCCTGCAGTTCTGCCTGCACTGCAGCTTCCATGTTTTGGTTTGGGACTGGGATATTTTCAGAAAATAAAGATAATTTACTATTTGTGGAACAATGAGAAGTTTCTACTGGTAAAGAACCACTTGGAGAACTGAAATCTAATTTTCTCCAAGAGGTGGAACTTTCTGGTGAAGTTCTTTTTGTAGCAGCCACCTCCTTGATGTTCTTTGTTGTGTCCTCTCTTTCTCCACATCTTGCTACAGATGACACATTATCAACATTTTCTGTTGCTGAGGCAGACTCATTCCTATGTAGTCTCAACAGTTCCAATCTAGCACTCTGTATTGTCTCAGGCCTGGCCTGCTTGGTGATAACTGATACTTGGTTAGGCAACAATGATGCTGACTCTCTATTTTCTAAGGATAGCACAGCCTTTTGTAACTGTTGGTTGGTCTCTTGTTGATGTTCTGATTTAGCTCTCAGCCTTTCTTCACCACTTCTCCTTAACAGATCACTATGGTGCCAAGAAGTGCTTTTAACAAAAACACTCTTGATCAAGCTAGACTGAGCCTCTACTAACTCTGTGAAATCTGACTGAGTTGATGTGAGCTCAACTCCTGGACCTTGGCTTTCACACTGTCCACCTTTCATGGCTTTCATAAATACTGACTGAGGAAGAGCACACACTTTGGTCATACCTTTCAGAACTTTTGTACATTCTATCCCACTGCTACTCTGATCATGAAAATCAGATGCTCCCAATTCAGGGTTCAGAGCATGCAAGCTATCCTCTGGGTCGTTTGCTCCTGTGGAACACTCTGTTGGCTCAGACTGCAGACCTGACATGTTTGAAGTTCTAGCTTGTAACTTTTGTTCTGAGTGACACACTTCAGTAGGGACTACTTCAGTAGGAACATGAGTATCATGACCACACTTCAACCCAGAGGAAAACTGGGGACTACTGTAGACAGACAACGCTCCCGAGGTAGACGAGGAAGAGAATTTGGCTTCAACATCAAGCTCTGTTGCACCCATTACATCACCTGCATCTTCTTCAGGTTCAGATGATTCTCCTAAAACAAACCTTTGCGTATCTTCTCTTTCCCTTTCTAATTCTCTAGATATTCCCTGAAGATGGTCAGATATACCATCTGATTCACAAGTGATTTCATTAGTTGGTGTCCACTTAGTAAAGTCTGATTTGGATGATCCTATCATTCTGGACAATGAGGTTTTTCCTTCAGATCCCGAGAGTTCACTTAGTGGTCTCTTGCCAAGGGGTGAATAACACATGTCTGGCTTCCCGAGGGCTGCCTCCTTCCCTTGTGCTAGGCCTCCAGACACCTTCTCAACACTCACACTTTCGGGGGGTTTACAAAGTGTTTCCTCAGTTTGCACTGACTTATCCATCTCCCTAACCTCTCTTTGTCTTTTTGCCTCACCTAAAATGTCTCTTTTTCTACTACTCATGAATTGAGATGACACTGCCCAGTGTTTCTCACCAGCTAAGGAGAATGTGGCTGGAGGTTCTCTCGGTGATGCTGTAAATGCCCCAACCCCAACAGCTGCCACCTCATTTACTTCCAATGTGTCTAGAGCTTGGGTGGCTTCATGTGATTTGGACTTTTCCTCCCATGTATCACTTCCTTTATTTTTTCTGGATGAGCTGAAACAATCCTGTGCCTCAGGTGTATCATCTTCTGAAAGAGACTCAGCAGAATTTCCATGATGGATGGAATCATTATCACTGGAATCTGTATACTCTCCAAAGTAGGTTTCCTTAAAATAAACAAGTTACACTAGTTAAATACTAATTCAACCAACTAAAATATCAATTAAACGCATTAAAAAAAAGTACATGCTTCCTGAAGAACTCTTTAAAACACATAGGAGGACCAGTAGTTTACGCTCTGCAGTCATTATAACAGTGGGAAAGTTTCAATCACGAGTATGGCACTGCTTTGCCCTTTCCTAAAAGAAGCCCACCTCTCCCCAGAGCTACCCTCTGACATCTCTTCTCCCATAACAGGTTCTTCCAAGTTCTAGTCCGCAGGTGGTGTAGGGCACAGTTTGTTCTACTGGTTAGAACACTCCTATTTTTCAACGACTTCCCCATTTTCTGGCCAAAAAGGCTTCTGACTCTGGCCACACTACCCTCTCTTTTCCTCCACCTCCTAGTCGCTCCTCCACACACATCTGACTCAAGCCCAGAGCATCACCCTCCATGCCTCAAATGGGCCATCACTCTGGCTGACGACTCATGGACAACTCTTGCCACACATGTTCTCACAAGTACTATACCTTGGATATTGTTATCACTCAGACCTGCTCTACCCCTTCCCCTTTAACAGTGTATGTAATGACAACTCTCTCTCCCACCTAGCATGTCTCCACCCTGGCTCCAGAAACCCTGCTTAACCCCCAACTAGCCCCCTCTTGCACTAACTGCCTTCATCACACATGACCCACCAGGTAAGCCAATTCATCAACTGCCTGCCTCCCTATCCTATAAGGGAAATGAAGTCTGGGGAAAACTAGCTACTGCTGACAGAAACGCTGCTACTAAAAGAATCCTTTCTTCCCCAGAGCTAAAGTACCATCATCTGGTTTTCCTCCATTGTCTGGCCACTTGTTTTCAATCTCTTTTCCTCTTCCCCTTTTCTGCTTGGTAACATTATCTATTGACAATTCCCCAGGAGTCTCTCTGAGACGCATCATCTTCTACACTCCTCTGAATGACATCACATAGCCTCATGACTTCTACTGCACCCAAATGCTGATTCATTCTGAATGTCTGTGTGTCACTACAGCCTCCCTCTGAGCACCATGCCCATGGATCTAAAATGAATATTGGATATGTCCACTTGGAAATCACAAACACACCTAATATCTAACATTTTACACATTATCTTCTTACCCAAGTAGGGCTTCTTCTTACATTTGTTATTTTCCAACATTCTTGACTTCTCCACCTCCCCTAACAACCACAATGAAAATCTCACCAAAGGTTGCTCATTCAGCCTCATAACATTTTTCAAGCTGTCCTCACTTCTTTAACCCCAATGTCACTACTGGGCTAAGGTGTCAAGAATTAAGGAAACTACTGATTAAATGATTTCCCTATTTATGATCTTACCCCTTTCCTGATTATCCCCACCCTCCACCCATTCATACAATGATTAAAGCAAGCCTTTCAAATGAAAATCTATCATCAGGCTCACATCTTTGGATCCATCACGAATTTCCCACTTCAGGATAAAATGGAATGTCCTTAGGATGCACACAGCCCTTGTGGACCTGGTCTCTGCAAATGTTCCCAGGATCAAGTTCACCCCAGTCCTATACCTCTACGAAACGCCTCACTCCATCAACACTCAGCTAGGACTCGACTTTTCTGAAGCACTTCCCAGCACTGAAGTGCTCTACAGATGCTGTGTAATTGCCTATTCCTTATGGTCTACCACACAAGAGCCAACCAAGTAGCAACCATCCCATACCCTACGTCATCTCTGCATTCCTGGTGCCTAGCATGATGTCTGGAACACAACAGACATGCATGTTTCCTGAATGAAGGCAGTGATTCAAAGTTATTTAACTGCTCCTTAAGCCAAAAAGTATATAAATCTGTTTCATCAAAACTAACTTCCTAAGAAATTATGATAAAGCAGTCTGCAAACACACAAAAAAGTGATGAGTTCATGAAGTGAAAGTAGAGGATTTAGCAACTTACGTTAATATATGCTACATACATGAATTTACCCATCTCTGAAAAACTCCACAGCTACAAAGATGTATTTAATTCATTGGTTCCATTATCTGCCTAGTACCAGGCACAAGAGATAAGAACAAACAATTAAGACACAGTCCTCCCATAGAAGACCTACAATGTGGTTGTGGATAAAGACAAAAATGCAACCATAATAGAAAGTGAAAAAAGTTATAATTTTTTCAATCAACTACCTGGTGATTCTAAGGGCACTGGCAGGCCTTTTTGTATTCTCTTATAACTTCCTAATAAAATCTGGTCTGAGTACCACAAATGTTCTTTGAGTATGGCTAAGTAATAGGATGGACACTGTGCCCACTTGGTGACTCAAATGCAAAGTGCAAACTCACAGGTGCAAGTGAAGAAGGTAAGGTGCCCCGGTGTGATAAGGACCCCAGAGGGGGTGACGGCACTGGAGACAAAAGAGGGGGGGGAAGTTTGAAGAAGTCAACTGCAGCTTGAAGGTCTTCATCAAAAGAGTGATCGTGATCAGAAAAGTCAGTACTGTCCTCCTCATTTCTCTGCATTAACACCTCAGGATGCTGCTCCTCATTACGGTGGGCTGCTCCACTGGGCCTCTCTTTTCCCACGTTTTCACACGCAGAGGTGTCACCCTCTACCTCCATGGACAGCTCTGCCAGACATGTCTGCACAGCAGAGGCTCTGAGGGGACTGCCTCCTACCCGAGTGGGCACACCATCCTCGCTGGACTCTATGGATCTGGGCTTTTCCTGGACAGGTTTTGCTGCAGAGAGAAAAAAAAAGTAAATATAAAATATTTACAATATCAGGAAAACTTAAAAAGAAAAACCCAACTTATCCTAATATTGCAAGCAGTTCAAAATGCTTGCGATATTAAGTACAAGTAAAAACATAAAACCTAAACATACTTCACGTAAGTATGCTTTGCTCACAACAAACAGGATGAGAAGACAGGTTGATGGGTGGATGGGATTCTCATGACCCCTCCGCAGCAGGGTGCAGCAGTGTAATAGGCCCTGATGACGTGCCTGCTCTCTTAGTGAACCCTACCAATAAGTAGTACCTGAGAGAAACAGCTTTGTGCATGCAGGCTGACAGGGAGCATGATTTTCAGTTTGACAAGTGATCTAAAATCCAATGATATCAATCCTATTCTATGACTATATTTGTACAATGCTCTAATTAAGGAACTAGGTCACAAATACTTTTTATTATAAGCAACAGAAAAATTACTATAAAAACCCAATGCTTTTTGGGTCTTGATTTTGGTGAACTGCATTGGTGCTAATTATTAATAAAGACATGTGTCTGGGAAATAATTAGAAACATCTATTTGTCATATTTGAAAGTGGTAAAAATATGATTTACAGAAGGACTCAGGGCTCCTTGGAGAAGTGGTTGATAACAGGGCTGGGGAAGTGAAATACAAGCTGAGACTGAAACATCTTGCAGTGTCAGAAAGTAAAGAGGTACTCAGAACAGGATGGGATATGTGGAAAGGGCCCAGGAGCCAACCAGAAGAGGAGCCCTATAACCAAAGCCAGGTCAATCTGAACAATACATAATAACAGTACTGAATTATAATGCATAAAATAAATACCCATGAGACTATAGTGACAGAAATAAGTAAATGAATAGATAAAAGGATAGCTTTCTTATACAATACCAAGTAATAAATGCAAAAGAAATGAGGGAAATACAATAAAATCTATTAGACAAAGCAGTCATTATAGCAAATGTGATCCATGGACGGCTCCTAAAATCAGTGGGCTATAGTTGGAGAAAAACAGAATATTTGCAGTGTCAAAGTATCTCCCCAAAGATAATTAACTAATAGTAACTTTACAATGGAGAAACCTAGCAGAGGCCACCTTAAACAAGTGATCAGGTTAATATCCCCAGTGATAATGCATCTCCACACCCCCTCTCCCTGGACAGAGAACCCTAAGGAGAGTGCAATATCTCCACTGTAGAGTTCTTGGCATAAATACACGGTTTCAATCTGAGAAAACATCAGAGAAGCCAAAACTGATAGGCTTTCTATGAAATCATCTGTACCCTTTTTCCAAAAGTAGAAAATACCTGAGAGACAAGGAAAGATGAATGAATTGTCAGACTGGGGGAGATGAAAGAACAACAACAGCTAAATGCAACATGAGATCTTGGAAAGACAAATGATATTGGTGGGAAAACAGGTGAAACTCACATGAGGTTTATTTTTGTTAACAGTATTACACTAAGTGTTATGGTTTTGATTACTGGTGATGGAAAACGTTAAACTTCAGGGAATCTGAATGGGGGTATAAGAAGGGAATTTTCTGCACTATTTTTGTAACTTTTCTCATATGAAAACAAAACAAAAAATATATTTTATGGTATAAAATTCCAAATATACCATGTTTTCCCTTCTACTTGAAAAAGCTAAAATTAAGGAACAGACTTAACCCTTGAAATAGTTTCTTTTTAAATAAACATGTAAAATTATGAAATGAAGGATGTCCCTTTTAATAACATCTTTAACAACATAAAATCAAGTGTTTATAATAAAGTAAGGCTATTGACTAATACAGAAAACTGAAATGTTGCCTATGAACATTTTGCTTTGGGAACGTGAATCACCTTCAGAGCTTGAGAGGAAAAACTAGATGCACTTTTCTATAGACTTAGATCTTCAGTATCTGTGAATTCATAGCAGCTAATTTAAGAAACTAGTACAATAACAAAAAAGTTAAGAAGCACTTTAATCTTATGCAAGACAGCAATCTTTTCCCCATCCACTCCAAGTGACTATCTACTTCCAAATAGTAAATACTGAATACAGTGCAGCTGAGAATGTGATAGAAAGTCTCACTTTTTACTGCAAATCAAGACATACTACAGATTAAGTCAAATCTCTGAAAGTGCATTAGCTAATTGTGCTATATAATAATAATAATGACAAGACAGTTTTTATCTAATCATATCAGTATCCTAAGGGAGACTATGAATGCAGAGAGTAGACTGTAACTAAAATTTCAACCAAAGTAACCTGTAAGTTACATGAAAAACAAATTAAGCTAAACTCCTGGTAGATGGATGAAACTCATGAAATGATTGGAAAAGCTATGTGTCCTCAGTCTTCTGCACACACCTGCCAAATATGCCTCCATGGTGGATCTTGCCAGTTTCTTTAAATGTCCTCTGATGAAAGCTGCTATTAAAAATTAAAACCCAAATCCAAGTCACACTGCAGGGAAAGGAGTTTTGTATAATTAAGAGTACCCATTCTAGCTTAGTTCATTCTTTAGTACATTAAAACATTAAAAACAAAAGACACACACACAACAGCCATAATAAACATTTCTACTTTCGTGTACAATATGTACTTCTGGAACCTTCTCTCTCACCTGGGACACATCTGCTGCTTTCACCAGGTACTCTGTGTGATGAGTTTATACACAGCCAGAGTTCCTTCAGAAGTAGTTTTACTTTTCCTGGGAAAGAGAATAAAGTGTTAAAGACATGTTATTTGGCTCAACATATGCAAGGCCAAAAGGCAGTCCTGTGAAATCAGGACTTATTAGGAATATAAAAACTAAGTAACCTAAAAATCTTCCCTACATTCAACCATTGTGCATAATTCCATTAGCTACTGACGGAAAGGTCTGCAATGCTCTAGCCAAATACTGATAGCTGAACACAGGTTTGGGTTTGTTTGAGGGTAGAGGGAATATGAGTCAAAATAACAAATCTACTTGTTAATGGCTTCTATCACCTTTATGTATGTGTGGAACAAATAAACCTTTGGCCTATAAGCTTTCTACAGAGAGTGATATGGGACGAGGGAAGGAAGCAGATATAATGACTGATATAAGAGATTTGGGCTCTATGTAGTCTACAAAGAACAGGAAAGAATTATCTCAACTGCATGAGGTTTTTAGAAAAGCCTGAGTCAACTGTGCTGTAATTAACCTGGGGGCTTCATGGCTCATAGAAAAGCCATTCATGGTATTAGAGGAAAATGAAGTGGAGACAAAAAGTTGTGTGTGTAAACATGGGTAAGGAGAGAAAAGCACAGAGAAGCGTATACTTTTAAGAGCAAAGCAAAAGCTTTGGAATTTTTATAATTTTCAAAGGGGTCTGTCTGGATTCCTAAAATGGTTAAGAACCACTGGTTCAAGTTGAAAGGCCAAAAGTAGTTGTAACTAAGATAGGCCCAATAAAATTCATATTATATTAAGAATATTAACTATGGTTTTAAAGTGAGTTTAACACTAATAAATACACAAATTTCAAAAAAATATTCCAAAGCAAAAAGACATGCATAAAAATAGCAGCAGCTTGTGGTCAAATCTATAATCAAAAACCCCACAAATTAAAATTCAACTAAAAATAAGCTATATGTATTAGGCAATTTCAGGCCACCTCAAAGTTCTATTATAGTTTCCTTGAACTTAAGTTCTTAAATTAACCTGAAGCATTTATTAAAAATACTGAAATCTTTAATCCAGTCTAGAGATGCTAAAAGACTAACCTTTTAAACCAAAATATCTCCAAGGAATCACAAATTTTGAACAGGTCAGCCCTATGGAAGCCGGCAAACAGCATCACACCAAATAATGAGGTTCAAACAGAGGGAGGGAAGGAGGACAGAGCTGGTCATTTCCAACCTCCCGAGTCAGCCAACCTTTGACAGTAACTGTGTGTGAGGCACATCATGTTGGAGTCCAAATTCTATGATCAAGCAGCTTATCTACATTGTGATTTAACCTACCCCAAAGCCTGCTTCAAACACTGTAATCCCCTTTGCTTAAATGACCTGACCAGGATCCCTGCTTATTAGGTATACCCAAAGCAGCAAACAGGGAACCTTAAAAAAGAGAAAAAAAGTTACTTTTCTATTCTTTTAGAGGCTATTAACCAGAGCTATGCCTATTCTAATTGAGCACTTCCATTATTTCTAATCTACAGATAAAAGAGCCATCCATTCCCAGCAAAACAAAACAAAACAAATTTCCTCATTGTGGCTTCATTACTAAGTCGGGAAGAGAAAATCTCATTACACTGATCCGCACACCTTAGCTCAATCTTTTAAAGTACTTCCTTTATCAAAATCTAAGGTATCTGTCAGTATTTCTAGACTTTTCTATTCCACTGACATGTCAGTTTCCACATGAATACCACATTTCTTTAATCATAGTTTTATAATTATGTTTTAATATCTGCTCAGATTTTTCCTTTTCAAAAATTTTATTATTCTGAACATCTATTCTTCCAGATAAAAGTCCATGATCTGCTTGTCCTTTCCCATATAAAACCTCGATGGTACCTTGAATGACACTGTATATTTATAAATATATCTGGGGAAAATTCACATTCTTATCCATTGAGTCTTTCAATCCAGGAAGATAATGTTTATGTATGTATTCAGGTCTTCTTTAATGCTCTTCAGGAGTGTTTCATAGTTTTCCTCATGGAGACACAGCACAGTTTTTAGGTCTTTTCCTGGACTTCTAATGGTTCTGTTGCCATCTGAAAATGGACTGTTCTGACTCCATCTGTTCTAATAGGCTCATAATGATATGTTGTGTGTTGGTGTTTATGTTACCACTTTCCCAAGCTCCTACACTTGCATTTTCCAGCTGAGACTTTTCAATTTTTTTGTCTTATCATTTGAAATTTTGACTCCTTTATTAGGATTTACAACTCCTACTCTTGTGTTTACTCTGTGGCAACACCTGAGGCCTCCCATATTTATAGAACAGAGGTAACAAGAAGCACCCTTTGCCTTGTTCCTGACAATAATGACTGTGTTATGTTTCACCTTTCTCACGTGCAAATGTTTTTTCTATTATTACCCACCCTTTTTTTTAAAAGAGGAATGGGTGCTGAACTGAGATTATCATTTTTCTCTTAGCCAGTTGTTGCAGTATTCCTCAGAGAAACCCTTAAGCCATAATTTGTATTCTCAGCCACTTGCAGATTTGCATTCTTAAAATTTTACTTAAATTCCTAAGTGACAGAGCCTTGAGTCTTGAGGACGCGTATGCATGTTATTTTTAACTGGCTCTAGTACAGGGCTATGCTAGTATAAGAGAACAAGACAGAATGCACTGACTATTTTTCTAAGTTCTAAAACAAGTAAGATAATAATAAAGACATTAGTTTTCACTGAAGGCTTTACAGAGCTCACCTGTAAGCCACCTGGTCTTCTATGGTGTTAGAGCTTTAACTAATTTTTTAATTTCTTCTTGGTTATTTTTCTGTTCAGGTTTTCAACAACTACTTGAGTCAACTTCGATATGTTTTCCTAGAAAATGGTCCATTTCATTAACAAGATCAAATGTGAATACAAATTTGTGAATAGGATTCTCCAACTAGTTTTATAACTTTCTCAGTCCTGGTGTTGTTGGATTTTTGTCCTTAGCTTTCTTTTCTTTTTCAGAGAGAGTGGAAGGGAGGGAGAGAGGGAGAGGCAGTGAAGGGGAGGAGAGAGAAGGAGAGGCAGAGGGGGAGAGAAACACTGATGTGAGAGAGACACATGGATTGGTTGCCTCCCACACAAGCCTGGACCTGGGCAGGGGAATGAACCTGCAAACCAGGTACATGTCCTTGACTAGGAATCAAAACCACGACCCTGTGGTGTGCAGGCCAACACTCTAACCACTGAGCAACACCAGATGGAACTGTTCCTTGCTCTCTTGATCAGACTTGCAAAGTTCTGTGGATTTCACCAGCATTACAAAGATCCAGCAACTGTGTTTTTGTGTTTTTTTAAAAAATATATCTTTATTGATTGAAGAAGGGAGAGAGAAAGGGAGGGGGGGAAGGAGGGAGGAAGGAAGGGAAGGAGGGAGGGAGAGGAGAAAGGGAAAAACATCAATGATGAGAGTTGTCATTGATCTGCTGCTTCCTGCACGCCCCTGACTGGGGATCAAGCCTGAAACCTGGGTATGTGCCCTGACCTGGAGTTGAACTGAGATCTCCTGGACCCTAGGTCGATGCTCAACCGACGAGCCACGCCCGGCCGGGCCCAGCTATTGTTTTAATGGTCTCTAATCAATTACTTAGTTCCCTATTTCATTAACTTGTGTTTTCATCTTCATCAACTGCTTCTATGTTCTTGAGATGTCTGCTGTATCTTCCTACCTTCTTAGTCATTCATTTTGTATAATTCTTGCTTTCGAAAGTAATCACTGAAGATCACAAATACTTCCTTTAAATGCCCTTTGGAAATATCTCAAGAATTTAATAAATACTGCCCTATTGTTTTTTATTTCCAAAACAGTTCAGTATTTCCATTTTTATCCTGTTATCCAAGAGGGATTGTTTGTGTTTACATGTTTTCAGTTACCAGATAGGTTTTGAAAGGCTTTTTTGGGGGCATGCGAGAGATATTTTTACTAGTATCTTACTAACATCAATATCTTAGTATCTCGTATTAGATATGAGACATAAGTAAATAGTCAGCTTTTACATATGTTTAAAAAATAATTTAAATTCTAGGATTGTGGTTTAAAAGGGTCATATCCCATCTGTGCTCTGCTCTGGGAAGTTTCCTTCTGTTATTTCTTGATCACCTTTTCTCTTTTGGCTCTGTTCTCCCCTGAGAAGTCCTAATAGATGACTATTATGACATCTGGCTCTATCCACCAGATTCTTTTATTTTCCCTAATACATTTTATTTCCTTGTCCTTTTGTACCATGTTCTCAGAGACACCCACCACGGGTCTCAGAGACACCTATCTTGTCCATTCAACAACTCAGCCTTTCTAGTAGTGGGTATTTTTCTACAATCATATTTTTAATGTTCCAGAACCCCAACTCTAATTTCATAGCAGTAGCCTACGTATATGTTCTTCAGCTTTCTCTAACGATACAACTCAATTTTTAACATTTTATGTGGTTTATGACTTCATACTGTTTCCTCAGGGACTAGCTCTTCTCCTTGAGTTTTGGTGCCTTTCTTTCTTGTCACTGCTTTTTTTCAAAGTTTTGGATGAAAGTTTTGGCAGAACATCTTTGACAGCCACAATATGTTTCTTCAGCCTANGTTTCTTTCTTGTCACTGCTTTTTTTCAAAGTTTTGGCAGAACATCTTTGACAGCCACAATATGTTTCTTCAGCCTACATTTTTTTTAGTTCTATACTTGCAATAAATGTAGGCTCATATTTCATAAGCCCATAGGACCCTGCCTTCAGAGGGAAGAGAAACAGAATGAACACAGTTGTGGGACAGAACATGAAATACAGAAACATCTCATTTTCTGGGACCAGGAACAGCTATCCTTCAAAAAGGAGCCATAATTACCTAATTTTCACACCCACTCTAGGTGCCTCCCATGGCATAACTAACACTTCAGACAACTAAACTTTGGGCCATAGCCTGTGGACAAACATAAACTGTTTCTGAACCCAGAAGGTAATATACATTTCATCCCTTAATCAATGATGTGGCAAAATGCTGCTGTCTTGTTCCTTCTCCCTCCCACCTCTGCTTTGAGGAAATGCAGGGCTTCTGGCATAAAAAGTTGCTTTTTGAGGGCTGCTATTTCCTCTGCAATTTGAGGCTTCATCACCAATTGATACCAACTGCTTTCCATTTCCTCATTAATTTCTTCCACTGGTGCTAAACTTTTCAACTATAAAGAAGGGCTATATTTTATTTTCTGCCATTTTTACTGGAATTTGAAATGAAAGAAAGGCAAATGTGGCACTCAGGTAGCCTTTTTAAAAGTGAGATCAACACTATTTCTGCTTAGCTTGTATATCTTTCAGAAGTCATGTATTAACAAAGAAAAGCATTACAGATACATTTAAGAATAAGAAATTAAACCCATCAAGGTCCACAGCTTAATAATCAGATTCCAAAAGGCTTCGTTTATTTGGAAAAAGCAAAATGTAAAACAAACAATATCCCTGCCCTCACAGTGAGGGAAGATAAAAACAAAGTAATTTTACTTGAAATAGTAACAAGTTCTTTGAAGAAAATAAAACAGAATGCAGGGACAGAGAGCAACTATAGGAAGAGGGTGGGAGGGTTCAGTTCAAAACAGTAAGGCCTGAGAATAGCCGAATCCTAAAGTAAATCTATCAGTCCAAAAGAGGTCATTAAATTTGACAGCTGACTGTTACTTGGGAAAGAAAAGTGTTGTCCAGCTCTCTATTTCTCTCAGCAACAGCTATTACTAAGAGTCTCACTTTCCACACATAAGAGCAAGAAGAATAATCCAAAGAATGTGAACTATATGTCAGGGACAGTGATAAATCAGTGCTCAGGCAACTAAAAAGTGTGAATTGCTAAAGCCTTAAACTATGGGAAAAAAATGATCTCATGCTCTAAATTAAAAAAAAAAAAAAAGTAAAGAAAGAGAAAAAAGATAAAGAGGACTTCTGAAAAAACACTCTATATTGAACAAAACACTGTAAGTGGTTTTAATAATATCCATTGGGGGGGGGCACATTAGTGGCACGAAAACACCATTATTTACACTTTAAATTTATCCTGACCAAAAAAGTGAGATGGCAGCGCAGAAACTCATAACCTCCTATTTAAAAACGAAGAAAGAAAACACAAAGAAGTAAATGGTCACACAGTGAACAAACAGAAATACTGAAGTGAAAACCCCATTTCCTCCGCTTCCAGGTCATGCCTACTCATCTACAAGACTACTCAGGGATAATGGCACACTCACATCTCTCACTTCCCCTGTGACTTCTGTGACTGCCACTTCACTTTTCCTTGTAACTTTTGGCCTTCCCTAAATTCTTATCTTCCAAAATATACTTATAGGACTTTGACTCCAGTTTTCCTGCCTGAAATTAACAACTTTTATATATTTGGCACCTATGAAATTTAAGAAATTAACTTGTAAACTAATAAACTGTAAACTAATGAGAAAACTACATTTATTTATTGAAAAGTATGGAAATTATATCTCTAACTAGTTTTCATTTCCCAAATAATAGTGCTTTTTCACACGTCCTTTCATGTGGTATTTTATAGGGTGATAACACACAGGGACCTAATGAAGACATGAAATACAATGACTTCTTCCATGAAACATCTACTAAGCCCTGGAGGAGTCACAACTACAGGTAAGAGCAACCTCCCAAAACCTTAAAAGTAATCCACAGAAATAAAAACAGAACTTGGAATATACTCACTTCTATCTATGCTTCCGTAAGAATCACTTGAAATTTGTGTTCCAATGTGTCTCAACTCTAAAAATATGGGGGAAAAACAGTTAGAAAGAATATTGTGCATCGAAACAGAATTTTTGTGGAAGCCATTAACTAAATACTCACCCTTTTCAGTTTTCTGTTTAGAATATTCGTCAAGCCTTTCCTGTGAAAACAAAACGCTAACAGTGTTTGCAATGTACAGGAAAGCAGCCATTTTAGAGCCAAGGCCAGGGGCAACCTGACAGCACTGCTGGCTGTTTTCTTCAGGAGCCACATTCCTGCAGGACTAGGACACTGCATTTTTACAAGGACACTAAGCCCTGAAACCAGAAAGTTAATATGTATGTGCACTGTTATCTATTACCTGTGTCTTCTTAAATTCCTTTTCAAGAATTTTCTTTTCATTCTTTAGTTGCTTGAAGTCCTGAGTTTGCTTGACAGCAGCCTCTTTATTTAAAGTGTGCAGGGAAGTAAGAAAGAAACATAATTTATCAACTTTACAACTACCATCAATAAAATATTCAAAATCTAATCTACTGAGTCTCTTTCATTTCTTAAAACTTTGAAAAAAATTTGTAAAAGATTACTGTGCCTTCAGTATTTTATCAAGCAGGGATGAACGCAGAAAAACTTTTAGCTTAAAATATTATCTCTACTACCTACAAAACCAAAGAATTGGCACAGGCCCTAAGAATCCTTTGCAATCCCAGCACAAGCCAACTCAACCCTCTAGTCAGGAAAGAGTCCAACACGCACAACCTTTAGAGAGAAGGCCATGGCCCCCCCTACTTGTTTTTCAACAATCATCAACATTCAAGGTTTACAGATTTTAGAACTGTGGTTTTATCTTAGAATATAGTTAGTATCATTTTCTTTATTTGGGGGAAGGGACAATCTTCTCTATGCTTACTATATAGTGTACTCCTTTCTGGAATTCTCTTCAATAAGCTAACCATAATGACTGCTAACACCTTTATTATTGATCTGCAGTTGACCCTTGAACAGCACTGGGGTTAGGGGTGCCGACCACCAAGTAGATGAAAATCCTCAAATAACTTCTGAATCCCCAAAAGAGTAACATTAATAGCCTACTGTTGATTGGAGGTCTTACCAACAACATAAATAGTTGCTTAACACATATTTTGTATGTTATGTGAATTATACACTGTACTCTTACAATAAAGCTAAAGAAAGAAAATATTAAGAAAATCATAAGGAAGAGGAAATACACTTACAGTATTGAAAAAAATCGGTGCGTAAATAGACCCACGCAGTTAAAACTCAAGTTGTTCAAGGGTCAACTGTACTTCTAGGGTATTTTATAACTGTTCTCTGAATCTTCAGCCAATTATTCATTCCGTTTTTGGTTATGAAGTAGTGTATAATTCAAGTACACTTTAAGAATCTGAGCAGTACTGAATATGTTCATACATAATCGCTATGAAAAGTAAAACACAGTAACAATCCTTTCCCGATTCCTTTTAATAAGCCTGAATATTTCTTTACCTGATTATTATGCTCTATTATGCTCTACCGTTTACTAGGAAAAAAATTTCTGTCACATGGAAAACAAAGGCTATACTTTTGCTTCAGAGGAATTCTGTTCTAAAAGCTGCACGTAGTCTCACAGGCATTCAGATCTTTTTAAAAACATTTCCTTGAATAGATACTTATCTCCACATACTAGCAAGAAAAGGCAGTATTTAGAAAGAACACAGTGCTATTTTACTTACTGCCATATTATTGATGTTTGTGCCACAACCAAATAGAGTTATGGTCTAAAAAAAAAATTAAGGCTCAATCTAAGTAAACTGATGACTAGAGATATTTTCCTATAGCTATATGTCCTGATCAAACTAAATTTAAATCCTTACTTCACACTCTAAATGAAAAATATACCATTCTCTGAAGCAGAGCACTGTAAGTAGATGAAATAGCAAACAGCAGGGTCAGTAAGCCACAGCAGGTAAGGGGGTTGCTAAAGCCCACGCTGAAATGAGAGAAACATGTACCAGGATGGGTCCTGCAGGGCCCTGCTCATCTCTACTGGATGTTATTTCCACGTCCCAACCACCCAATGAAGGGGGAAGAAAACAGAAGAAAATATCTTGCTTTCAATTCCAGAAAGGGTTATTAGCTACCCCGTAAGGACTGACCAGACCCTCACATAGGCCCTCTGCACTCTGCCTACTCAGCACGGACCAGAAGCCCCTAACCAAACAATGGGGTGTGGGGAGGACAAGGGCAAAGTGACAATTCCCAAAGTAGGGAATTTCACAGAAATCTCTCCATGAGTATTGTTCTATCTAAATACATCAAGTTTCTTGGTACTAAACCACTTTCTCTGCTAACCACTGATTTCATTAGAAAAAAATGAGAAAGCCCCATAAGATTCAACTTTCAAAATTAAAATCCTTTTATTAATTGCTGCTTTTTTACAGTAAAAGTATAGGCTGCTATTACTTTGAGTGCAACAACATTTCAAGGATTTGCCACATTCCACTTTTATGCTACTGTCCAGTAACTGAGAGGAATAAAGTATTCAAACTTCTTAGTAACAGTACCCTTAATGCAGTCACCCAGGGATATGCCATCAAAACCACAACTCAACTACTTGATCAAGGACTACAACCTCTTAGCAGTAAGTAACTAGATAACAATAGTGCCAATTACCTTCTAGTTTCTTCACCTTGGCTTCTAGTTTCTTCTTCCTAGAAATAAAATTCTTTATGTTAAAATGGTTGTGTGTGTGTGTGTGTGTGTGTGACAGGAAAAATATACATTGAAGTTTGTGGTACATTTATTTTTAATTACTCATGTTTATATAACAAAGTAAATATCAACCACAACGAGCAGCACACATCAACCATTAAAATTACCAGCAATTGTTCTAAAGATAGAGCAAGAAAAATAGTATGCTACTTAGTGTAATAGTTCTAAAATGGACAAAAGGAATGTGTATTTATCTCTCTGAACCACAGTGGTCTCACCTATGAATCAAACTGATGTGTCTGGATGGTTTCCTAGATTCAATGCAGACTCTAGTTAGGCAATGCTACTTCAGGGAGCATGAATGGTGGGAGTGCTCACACCACCACTATAAGAGAGGGGCCATGGCTGGAGACAGGCAGTTGTTTTAAGATGGATTTGAGTCAGAGAAGAGAGATAACTCTCTGGGAAAGAGTGTCTGAGTGCTACATCAACATTAAACTACTGTATGTGTAGTTCACAAGTTAGTTGAATAATGTGAAATAGTATTAAATGTCAGATCAATTGGATGCTTCTGAACAGCCCTTTTTGTGCATAATAAAGACACCCACTCCATATAATATCAGTTAAAGTACTTGTACAAAGAAAAGAGTAAATAATGTTTTCACACACAGATACACACACATATATGCCATACAAACCAAAAACATGTTTACAGAGTTCTCTCTTTGGGTAGCCCTTTGACAAGTGATGACTTATTTAACCCTCCTCATAATCCTTCAAGGTAGTTCTAATTTCCATTTTACAGATGTGGACACCAAGGTTGAGAGACATTCAAGATTGCAGTTAATTACAGCCAACAAACCCGAAGACAGAGAAAAGAGAAACACTACTAATTTAAGAATTTTCAAAGATGAAAACCCTATTTCCAAAGTAATTTTAAAACTACTTACTGAGCATCAGTTTTCAAGCATTCTTCTTTTACACGAGCATATTCCTGATGAGTGTCCTGATACAACTTTAGAGAACTCTAAAAAAAATAGACATATACTATCAATTTGAAAGTCATGACCATCAGTAATAACTTATTTTGACCTTGAAAAGCTAAATGATTATCATTTAACAGTATGAAATTAACCAAATAAATAATATATTAAGCAGGAAAACCAAAGTACAATTCACTGAACATTTTAAAGGCTATAACTAGATCCTTATCAAATGTAATATGATTAATAGTCTAATCAAAGCTATAAAATTGAAAATACATTAATTTTAAGGAAAGTCCAAATCTTAATATTGAATATTCAATAGTTAATATTTCTGTCTCTACCAAATAAAATTCAACAAAGCCTAAAGAAATTTTAGAGCTTAATATAAGCTATTGTTACTAGTATGCAAAAATATAGAACACATTGTTATACTTAACAGTAAATGGAGAAAATGTGTCAACATCAATCAATATATATACCCTGATGGCCACTATGGGATGGGAAAGAAACTGTTATTGAATAGCATTATATCATAATATAATGTGTATATGATATTTCTTTAATCACCATAGCTCTGAGAGACGGGCTTTATGACCTCTTTTCACAGATGAGGGGTCTGAGGGTCCACAAGCTGACTTAGTCTTCCAAAGTCACAGTGAGTGAGTGAGGAGGGCTTATCATTCAGGTCTGACTCCAGCTCCTGCTTCCTCTCAGATAAGGCTGATGAGATTATTATATAATCAGAGGTAGACAAAATTCAATGTCTTGGTTGTTTTTGTTTAACTTTCATTGCATAGACAAATATATAAAACAGAATTCTATAGAAATAGGAAAGTCAATCACTGTTAAATTACATAAGACCTCAGATAGGTGCATGACATTATTAAAATGCCACAATTTGAAGACTGAGAAGCACAAATACTATCCTGAGAAGAGCTTGAGAGAACAGATAAAGAAGCCAAGAATCATCTCAGCTTGGCTACAACTTGTCTGATGCAAACTACCTCACTTTATTGGCTTCAGATTTTTCTTATCTGTAAAAGCCATGAATTCTCTTCTAAGACTCCTATAAAGAGTAAACCAAAATTTATATAGAAAAACAAGCTTATACAATTTTAAGTAAACTGTTTTATTGCAACTTGATCTTGAAATAGAGAACGATTTTGCTACTTTAAATTTTTTGCATGTTATTTTACACTTAAAGCAAAAAAACGAACGAACAAACAACAAAAACAAGTGTGAAAAGGCAATCAGTGCAGGACACAGGAAGCCATAAAAATTCACAACTAGAAAGGTCCTCTACTAAACCTCTCATAAAGCATAAGCAACTAATACAGAATTACAAATCTAATGATCACTGTAAGGGTCAAGCCATAAATCAACTAGTTCAATGTTCACTAAGTACAGTAACACACTTAGGAATCTTGACTACCACTGATTTCCTTTGTTAACATATAAAATGTCCCCTTATCCCAATTACAGTGAATTAGCAGCTCTTAAATGAAGATAAAGCACTGGAGAAAAATTACGTTAGGTACCTTTTTCTCTTCTAGCTCAGCTCTTAGAGATCCCAGTTCTTCCTGACATTTCTGCAGAGGAGAAATTTTTTGAAGCATCTGTTCCACTTGATGATGAAGAGTGCTATTCTCTCTAAAAATGGACAATGCAACACAAGAGAACCTACAATGAATTATTAAATATACCTATTGGTGATTTTTGATTATTTTCTAAACAGAAACAAAAAAGGAATAAAAGGATTTCTTTTTTTAAATACATTCTCTACTTATACCAACATGATCCTCATGTTGCTTTTTATCTCTTTGGCATTACAGTCTATTTCTAATAAAAGTATATCAAAAAGCCACTTGAAAAGCAGATAAAGCAGATTCTCAATCTGCTGGAGAAAATATTAAAGGGCAATCTGCCAAGAAGGCTGGCTCTTCCAATCTTAAACTCATCCCCATTCATTCAAATTAAATGATAGGCAATTTTGTGATTCAGTTTACAACCATGGTTTTTTTGGCTTTCTTCTAAGTGATAAATGTAATCAGTGTTTGGAATATTGCTAAATTTTTACATAAGTTTATTTAAAATTATTTCAAATACACAAGTAAAATAACCCCAGTCTAATTCATGTAAATGATAATAATTATATAGCAATAAGCATCATCTTAATGGCAACATGATCACTAAAAGTTATTGAAAAGTCAAACCACGCCATAATTTATTATCTTAATAAGAAATTCATTTGAGAAACATGAATCTTCTTTTATTATGAGTATCAAAACAACATTCTAAATAATGGGTCAGACCTATTTGGCACTTTTTTCAAATCCATCCACTTAAAAATGTAGGCTGATAAGTGTCTCCCCCAAATCAAATATGAAAACAGACAGCTTACCTTCTGGCAAACTGCAGCTGTAAAACTTGTTAAAGAAAACTCTGAGAATTTTATCCACTGATACTTCTCTGAAGACAAAACTCACTTAAAAACAGTATTTCAATGTATATACAGGCAAGATCATAATTCTTAAAAAACAATTTTCAAAGTTCCATCTATAACATACATATAGCATAATGAAAAGATTTTTACTGAGTTATTCCTTTTCATAATATGTACCAACAGTCAAAATATCCACTTCTCGAAATTAAAAAGGTATCTGATTAAATATACAATCAGTATTAAATTCCAAGAATAAAGACAATATGAAACTAATGGATACTACTCCGAATCCTGTATATATCAGAACACCCAAATAATCTGTCCTTCACTTCTCAAATGATCCAGAGAATAATTCCACCAAACAAGAGTTATGCTCTTACTAAAACTGTACATAACTACATTCAATGAGTAATAAAGACAGGGAGAATATAAAATCTAAATAATCCCTCACTTTTACAATTTACACAATCTGATAACTTCATTTCCCATCTCAAGCTGCCAGTAATGTTATAAAATAGCAAAAAGTAATACCTGTAAATTTCATCTCCTATAAATTACTACCCATACCACAATACAGCAAATGTTTATTTGTAACAAGTCTGTATCCGCCTCTATTAGAATGTAAGCTTCTCAAGATTAAGGAGTATATTTTATTCAGCCTAAATTACTGCAGTCTTTGCAAGAAAGAAAAGTTCAGAAAACATCTGATGAAATAAAACTGTTCTGCCCTTCAGAAAGAGGAACTAATAACTCAGCGGTCAGAATTCAAGTCACAAAAAAGTAAGAAATCACGTTATACAAGAAAGCCATACAAACCCTGCAACATTGGTACCACAAGTTATAGACCAAATTACTACATACTTGAGGTACAGCAAATACATACTTGGGGCAAATGCCAAATGTGTTTTAAAAAATCTATATTTAGCCCTGGCCAGCGTGGCTCAGTTGGTTGGAGCATCGTCATAGTACAGTGAAAGGTTGTGGGTTCAATTCCTGGTCAAGGCACATACTTAGATTGCGGGTTTGATCCCAGGTTAGGGTGCATGTGGAAAGGCAACCAATCGATGTTTCTCTCTCACATCGATGTTTCTCTCTCTCTCTCCTTTTCCCTCTCTCTAAAAATCCGTAAGCATGACCTCAGGTGAGAACTTAAAAAAAAAAAAATTATATATTTACCTACAGCTGACACAGAAGAAGATTACCAATTCATAGAATGGAAATTCAATAATAACTGAAAGTTTCATCAATTTTTAACTTATTCTAACAAATTTTATTTTGAAAATTCTGCAAATTTTAGAAAAGTGAGTAATTTTCCTGCTTACTTGTCTAATTACCTCAAAAAGATTATGTCATCTCTTCCCAAAAGGATATAATAAACACATATTCTAACACTGGAATTGTCTACCTATTTTTCTATGTAGCTAATTAAAAGTACTTGAAATAACTGTTTCTGCAGTTTTTATAAGCAAACATATTACTCTTGCAATATTGCACACTTACAGTTAAACAGACTGATAGTTTCAACAAATAAGGCACACAAAAAATTCAATGACTTATATTTTAGAATGTAAAAAACCAGATACAAAAAGTAAATCTCAGTGTTATGCTCAATTTTATTGCTCTAATCGCAAATTAGATATGATGGTACCAACATAAACAAATAAGTCCAGGGTGCCAGACGTAATACTGAAGCAGGCCTTGAGTAACTGTTAAAGGTGACCAGCACAATCTGTCCCGATATTTAAGCTGAAGTTGTACTTCAGTGACTCCCTGAAAATGATGTGTTTTTATGAGAGAAATTTTATTTTTATGGGAGAGAAATAATTCAGAGTGTCATTACCACAGATGAGGAAGAATCAATTACACACACTATTTTCACCCTACAGAGAAATTATTTGACCAGAGGCCAACTACATCACAGGTGCTCTACATGGTTATTGAACAAATAGTAACTATGAGCCCAAGATATACATTAATCTCTATAAGTTACAACACTATTTAACACAAGTCAATTTTCTAACATTCTGAATATTCCTACAGGGCACTTCTTGCAGAAATCCCCAAATACTCTTTTATTCAGCTTCACATTATTACTGAGCCTAAAGAACATACAGCATGTCCTTTGTACAAATGAAAAAGACCTACTCATTAAAAAGCTTGACATCTTAAGAATGTCAAAATCAATGACAAAAACAAAATAAATTCTAAAATAAAGAGACCTGTAGTCTTTATTGGGAACTATGTATTAACAGTAAAAGATCAACTGTTTACTGTGCTGTTATAAATACTCCCTATTTTAAGCCTGTAAATACTGCCCTCCAAAAGATAACTATGAAAATCTCACATTTCTTTAAAAAATCATAAGTAAATTTAAAAATTCAAACAAAGTCAGTAAAAGGATATCATCACATTTCTTCTGATACTCTGTTAACAAATTACTGCAACAAAGAAAATAATTGTTAAACTATGTTAAAACTATGTTTCAAAATATGCAAGGCACCTTTCTTCATATACAATAAATTTGTTTAATTATGTATACAAACATACATATATTACCTTAAATTCACTGGATATATGAACTTTTCATTTAAAAATCCCTTTGATCTAACTATTATCTTAGCCTATAAATTATGTGACTTCTATAGAATTTTTAAAAATTAAATCTCGCACCATGGCTATGAAATACTGTAAGGAAATTTGGGGCCCTGTCCTAAAGCTAAAAAGGCTTTAAAGATAGAAGACAGCTTTAAAAAAATATCCAATCTCGACAAAAAAATCACTTCCTAAGCCATGAGCCTTTTTGTAAAGGTTAAAGATGAGGACGGGAGTTTCATTATAATCAGTACACCACCACAGAGGCCTCAGAAGATAAAACTCTAGTTTGCTTTTAGGCCCAGGGGTCTAACACCACCTCCCACTTCAGCTTGTTTGTAGGTCAATGAAGCTTGGTCAAACACATGAAAACATACTCACTCTGTATTAATAATTTTTTGCTTCAAGGTAATTAATGCTTCAACATATTCATTTAAATTCTGAAAGAATAAAAAAAACTACAGTCAGCTACTTGTTTTTATATAAATTACTTTTAAATATAATTTTACTGTAACACGTCATTTACTATAAAATATAAACATATTATTTACTGTATTACATAAACACAGAAATTTGTAAACCTATTATTTCCAATGTGTATAACACACATATATGCTGTGTGATCCTGAGCCCATGCTGTCTCTCTCTGAATCTTTTATGTGAATGATGGAACTCTAACAGCAAGGTAGTTTTACAGATGCTCTGACTGTATGCACTTGATTTCAGTGTAGTGCACAGTTTACACTGCAAAATATCAACAAGCTTGGAAATCAGTGACACCAGGTTCCTCCTCTCAGCCATGCCTCAGAGAAATTGTCCTCCTTCATTTAACAGGAGCTTTGCTTTTTAAAGAAGTCTCTTCCTGGGACACTGTGAACACCTGGAACAGGTAGACTAGACCAAGAACAGAGGGGCCAGGTACACCTATGCATGCTGGCGACCTGCTGCTTCTCCTCATTAAGCTTCCAGACAGTGGCAATCAATCCTTTTGCTCTCCAGGCAGAGACTGGAAATAATTTCTGAGGATCTGAGGAACTCTAACCTACATGAAGGTAAGACCTAACAGCACTGGCATCAGACATTATTTAATCAATAAGCGGCCTACCCAGACCTACTGCACTAAAACTCAGAAAGAAACTTGTAACACGAGAGACCAAAACAAACCAAAGAAACTTGTAGTAAGCAAAAACTGAGAAAACTTCAAAATAAATTAATATGATCTGAAATAAATTATATTAAATTCACGAAACAAGAAGTTATTTTTAAAAGAAATAATCAGAGCTCTTAGAAATTAAAATAAAAAGATCTTAAAAATTAAGACTGTAAACACCCACTAGCATGGTTAAAATCAAAATGACAGGCAATGACAAGTGCTGGAGAGGAAGCAGAGAAATTGGAACCCTCATACATTGCTGGTAGAATATGAAATGATGCAGCTGCTGTGGAAAACAGCTTGGCAGTTCCTCAAACTGTTAAACAGAGTTAACCATATGATCCAGCAATTACACTCCTAGGTATATACCCAAGAGAATTGAAAACACATGCCCAGGCCAAACTTGTACCCTCTTATTTATAGCAGTATTATTCACACTAGCCAGAAAGTAAAAATAAACTCAATGTCCATCAACTGATGGATAAACAAAATGTCATACAGCCATACAAAGTGATTACTTGGCAATGAAAAGGAATGAACACAAGCTACAACGTGGATGAACCTTGAAAACATTATGCTAAGTGAAAGAAGCCAGTCACAAAAGGCTACCTGCTGTATGATTCCATTCATAAAAATTGTTCATAATAGGCAAATTCAGAAACAGAAAGTAGATTAGTGGCCGGGAGTGGAGGGGTTAGGGGAGAATAGGAATGCCTGCTAATACAGGGTAGGGCAAGAGTAGGTTTACAGTTGTTCATATAAAAAATACAATAATTAATAAATAATAGTACAAGAATAAACTCTGTTTCACGTACTCGAAACTGTAAGCTTACTTTTGTCCCATCCTGAATTTAAGAGGTTTCTTGATGGGGACACAGGGGTGTGTGGATTAACTTATTTCACAATTACATAGTGGTGACAAGATTATATAACTGTGAACATACTAAAAACCATTGAATTGTACATATAAAAGGATAAATTTCATGGTATGTGAATTATACCTCAAAATTTGTTTTAAGTATTTAAAAACAGGGACGCAAAATAAAAGATTTAATAATAATAAAGTTAAGCCCAGTCGGACATGGCTCAGCAGTTGAGCATCGACCTAGGATCCAGGAGATCGGGGTTCGATTCCCGGTCAGGGCACATGCCTGAGTTGCAGGCTCCATCCCCAGTCAGGGGCGTGCAGGAGGCAGTCGATCAATGATTCATCATTGATGTTTCTCTCTCTCTCTCTCCCTCTCCTTTCCTCTCTCTGTAAATATGTTTCAGTAAAAACATATTAAAAAATATATATATAATAATAATAATAATAATAAAGTTGAAAAACTGTTCCCCAAAATAAAGCAAACCACAAACATGTAAAAGAATAAAGAAAAAGACAGAGTGTCAGTGTAAGAGGTCCACATGCCCAAAAATAATTATTGAGTTCCACAGAGAGAGTAACAGAAAAGATGGGGAGATCAAAGAAATACTAATGTTCAAGAAAAAAAATCCCAGAAATGAAGCCAGAAGTTTCCAAATTGAAAGGGCCCAAATACACGAATACAAATAGGATCCAACCATGACACATCAGTATAAAATTTCAGAACATCGGAGACAAAGCGAAGAGCCTATAAGAATCCTGAGAGAGAAAAAATATGAAAAGAGTCATATACAAAGAATGTGGAATCAGAATGGCTTCAGACTTCAACAGTAATCTAGAAAGCAAAAAATCTAGAGGCCAGAAAGCAAGCCTTCAAAATTCTGAAGACAAATGAATTCCAAGTAAAAGTCTACACAAACTAGCAATCAATAGTGATAGTAAAAGAGGCATTTTCAAATCTGCAGTCTCCACAAACTTACTTCCTAGACATCCTTGTTCAGGGAGGTACTGAAGGATGTAAACAGGCTCCACCAAATTCATGGATAAACTGAGAGAGGACAATGTGGGACACAAAGAAGAGATAAAGAAAGTGACTCTAGGAAGGCAGCTGAATGCCAGATTAGAGCTGAAGGCTCAGGAGGGAATTTTTCCCCTAAGAAGAAAATGATACAGTATCTGCTGGAATGAAAACTTTAAAAGGCAGAGAAGTGCAAGTGAGTGTATATAGTTGGTTTTCGTCAAGCACTTAAATTATATTTTTGGTAAAAGTGATTCTTCCTCTTTTTCCATTCTGTTTCAAGTTCTTTGCTAGTTGATCTTATGTTCCCCACCTTGCTCCCAGATGCCATCTGTAATGTAAAGTACTATGCTAGAGACATTCCAGAGACCTCAGACTCTAAAGTCACACACAACTGGATTCAAATTCTTGTTCCTCCACTTTCTGGCTGAGTGATTTTGGGCACATTTACTTGACTTCTCCCAGCTTCAGAACCATTTCTAACTGCATAGATAAGATGAACACTGGGAGGCCACAAAACTGGCTTGCTATCAGGATTAAATAGGATGAGCCAAAGTGTTTAACCCAGCCCCCAGTATAAAGCAAGCACTCAACATTTTTAAGGTGAATAAGTTGAATTGAGGATATAATAATCAATCAGAGGAAACAAGGAAACCCAGGAAAAGAAAAGTAATCGTAATACTCCAGAGCTTAGCTCTGAATAACATAACATAGTTAGGGCAGCGTCCATAATGATCTAACTGAAATAGTAACAACTGGACTGAGGACTGGAGGCGGGGGGTGGGGAGAAGGGGTACTGAGGTGTGCTGGGGTACAGGTCAGAAAGAGAGCTCAATTCTCACCTTCCAAAGTCAAAAATCAAAGAACATACCTAAAAATGAAAAGCAAGAAGTAGCAAAACAAGTCTATTATTTAACAGTACGGAAGTTCATTATGCAGCACACACTGTGCAAACAATTAAAAGTGCTGTCTATTGGAAAGGGAATGAGAGGAGATGGGAGCTGTCTAACAAATCTTGTATCTCTAGCTGTCTCTCTAAACTATGTTCATATAAAACTAATAAAAGCAAAACTAATAAAAACTTAAATTCACAAAACATAGCACTATAAAAGAAAACAAAGCACATACTAAATGAAGATGACTTCTTGGTTTCCTATAGCATTCTAGTCTCTAACTTTTTTCCTAAGGCGTGGTTGGGTTTGCAGTTCAAATTTGGTCAGATACTGACTGCAGTGTCCAAATAAAACATTCTATTTTTTCCATCTGATTAAAATATCACTTATGTTGGGTGCAACCAAGGCCTCCAACAAAAAAATCTGAGTTGTGAACGCTGAGCAGTCTGTGTCTAGGTGGAGGGCCTTTGGAACCCCGACCCACATTCATTCTCAGGTGCGCAGTGCCCTACTACTGCCCAGCCTCCAGGGAAGGAAGTGAGGTTCAGGGTATTCTTCCTCTCCAGGAAAGGTTAAGGTGGTGTGGTTTCTTTGATTACTGCTTTTCTCCCAACAGGCGTGCTCTTCTGAATTTCTATTCCAATGTCAATTGGAAGGCTCAGATTTACTCTCAATTCTCTCCTCTCCTACCACACCAACTTTTGTTTTTCTTTGCTGTGTGTGAGTTCCTCAAGCTATGTTTTATATTTACTCACTGGGCCACTAACACAATACCAAGAGGAGCCCATTACTCAGACTTTCTGTTCCCCATTCACTCCTTTTTCATAGTGTACTGTTTTAATTTTATCTATACAATCTCCTCCTCAATGTCACTGTGAATATGTAGCACTGGAGAAAAAGAAATCCCCTCTGCGCTTCCTATCTTCCCTTCCCTTCTTGTGGAAGTGGAATCAACACAGTGGCTGAGCACAGGGGGCGAGGGGAGAGGGCAGCAGGACAACCTTGGCAAGGAGCGAGCCAGCTGGCCTGGCCAGGGTAGTTTACAAACTACTACTACTAAATAAGTAAAATCTATAGATACATAGCAAATAAGTAAGTAGATAATTTGGGGAAGAGTCAACTGCCTGTGTCACTACTATTCTAACACTGCTATCCTTTGGGGTGGGAAGATTCTTAGTTGTGGAAGCTGTCCAGTGCACTCAGGCATGTTTGGCTGCATCCCTGGCCTCTACTCACTAGCTGGCCAGAGCACCCCCCACTTGTGTGTACAAGAGTCACCACGGCAGGCCTGAAACTGCTATCCCTAGAAAAACTTGCTGGCAAGGCAGACCCTTGGCTGGAGTCTGGGAACTTGGGATTCTGGAGGGTTCCCACCTGTCTCTCCAGCCTGGTCTTCCATTGCCCTTACCTTTGGCTTTTTGTGCCTAATCCATCATAAACTACTTTCTCCCCTCCAAGCCTATGCATATGAAATATTCCTGTCCACAATACTCTCCTTACACTTCCTCCCT